GCTGCCAAGTGCCTCCAGGGAGATAACATGGGTAAATATGATGCTCAATTTAATGTTTTTCCTTTTCTCTGTAATTTTGGCCCTGCCAAATTTTTCCTGGTGGCTAATTCCCAATGCCTTTGAAGATATTTATTTGAAATTTAAATAGTTCTTAACTGTTGTCTCAGTAGAGGTCTGGTCTCATAATTGTATCATAACTATAAACAGAAGTCCATATTGACTTTTAATTTTTGGTGAATATTTTAATGATTAGACCATAAGCTTCCTGACAGAGGGAACTATTTTTTATTTCCTGATTTCTATTTCTACACCCAGCACACTATCTGGCAGAGAGGTTAAAAACTGAAAAACCAATTTTTATATTAGGGAAAATATGCTAGAATTTGAATCAAGCACAGCACATTAAAAACATGGCTTCTGAACCATTCAAGCCCATCAATTCATCTAATTGCACTAATCTCCACTAAGAAATGTCTAATTTTCTTCTCTGGCCAAGGACTAATGGAGCACATCCCTCAATGAAATTGCATTCTCAATGCTTATCTGAGACTAAATTGCCTCAGGAAGTATATAATCTATTGTTTATTTATTAAAACTGTTTTACACTAGATTAAGTGATTTCATCAATATCCTTTAGATTTAACTAATCCATTTATAAATATGGCATTTTATCAGAAAACAAGGAGATTTTTCATCCAAACTGAAGCTCTGTCAAATTAACCTTTAGAGGTTTGGGTGACTGTATTTAGTTGAGCTTTTCCACAACAAGGAAACAATAGTAGAAGAAAAGCTCTTATATTGAAAAGTAAGGTTTATTGAAGGTATGAATTATTTTCTATTACCTCACTGGATACTCTTATATTCTCTCTGAATCTTGTACCACCATTCCCTAAAGGAACAGTTAACAGAGTTAGCAGTGGTTGCCTCTGGAGAAGAGAAATTTCAGAGGTAAGGAGAAAGGAAAGGGGATTACCACTTCTCACTATTAGCACTTAAGAATTTTTAGAGTGCAATCTATACTTAAATTTGTAAACAGAATGGCGGGGGATGTGAGAGCAGCTTAGTGGTAGAGTGCGTGTCTAGCACATGTGAGGCCCTCATTTCCACTCCCCTGTCACAGGAAGAAAAAATTATGTACAAACTGATTTTTTAAAGGAGATTCAGCCTTTAAAGCAATAGTTCTAGAAATTGTTTATATAATGCTGTATGTTTTTATTTCTCCTTAAAACTTGTGGGGGATCTGATTTCAGTCCACATCTGTAAACTTTACAATAATCAAAATATCAAGGCCCTTTCAACACTAATATTCTAGTATTCTAAAACTTCAGTGCTTAACAAATGGCAGGGCACAATTTAAAACAGAAAAATGTATTTGTTAGATAAAAGGCAAACTCACAAGGGCTTGTTTTATAATGGATGGTTAATGAAATTACAGTGATCAGCACAGTAATTTGAGGATGACTCTTAAAAGAGTTAGTGAAAGAAGATATGGGTATTAGGGAATCTATCTCCGTTGATTAGACAGCTTCTTCGACATAAAGCATTCATGGTCCAAACATTAATGATACATTTGGGGCCTGTAAGAGCAGAGCATGCTAAGTGTCACGTAACAGTTTCTGCTCCACTGAGTAGTCAAGTGTCACAACCTACTCTTTCCTGCAGACTTGTGAGTGGACAGAGACCAAATGCCTGACTGCTGGTGCCTAAGGATGGATCTGCTCGTCCACATTTATAGCTAGATAGGACAAGGGCTCTGACACTGCTTACATGGCTCTTGACAGATTAGGAACTCCAGCATGTCTGTCAGCTTAAAACAACTACACATTCAGACTCATTTACAGACCCTGAAATTTAAAATTAAAACAACAAAACCCAGTATTAAATCTTTTAAAGAACCAAGCCAGTTGTCCTGAGTCACAAGAAACAAGTCATCTCTTTCTCAAAAGAAGCTATATGTTAGAAATGTCCCTAAGAGGTCCATTATGTTTTCAGTTTCATTCTCCTTAAAGTATTGCTTAATTTCTTTTGTCATTTTAACTCTTTGACTCACAGATGATTGAAGTAAGTGGCTTCATTTCCATATAGTTGTGAATTTTCTTTGTGTTATTAACTTTTTTTTCTTTCATTTTTCTTTTTTTTTGTCAGTCATGGGGCTTGAAATCTGGGCTTGGGCGCAGTCCCGGTGCTCTTCAGCTCAAGGCCAAGGTGAGCGCTCTACCGCTTGAGCCATAGCGCCACTTCCGGTTTTCTAGTGGTTTTTTATTGGTGATAAGAGTCTCACGGACTTTCCTGCCCGGGCTGGCTTTGAACCTCGATCCTCAGATCTCAGATCTCAGCCTCCTAGCTAGGATTACAGGCGTAAGCCACAGGCGCCCGGCTTGTGTTATTAACTTTTAATATTTCATAATTATCAGAAAATATTAAAAGAAATCTGTATAATTTTTATTTTTATTTATCTACTAGTCTTATGATTTCACATATGCTAGCATGTCTCTCTCATCTGCACCTATGAAGGTGCATTCTACTATAATTATTAGGAGGAGTGCTACACAAAGGATCTTTCAGGTCTAGTGAGTTTATGGTGTTATATTCACAAGTCTGCTGAGGATATAATGCAATTCAAGGCTTCTGTTTTAAAGAAAAGTCTTGCTGAATAGTGTAGGCTGGCCTCAACTCCTGCCTTAGTCTTTCTAGAATTATAGGTGTGTACTGTGGTCTTCTATCTTTTTCTGATATTGTTAGTTCTATCTAAATCATTTGCTTATTGTTTAGTAAGTAATTTTCTCCCTGTGATAAAATATACATAACTGAAAAATTGCCATTTTAGCTATTAGTGGCATCAAGTATATGCTCATCACTGGGCTATTACCTCTACCACCCATTCACCACAGCACTTTTCATCTTGCAACAATTAAACAATAATTCCTCTTTTTCTCCATCTTCAAGTTCCTGGTAACTCTCATTTTGCCATTTGTTTGTGTGAATATAGCTACTCTCGATACTTCACATAAGTGGAATCACATGACATTCATCATCCCTTTGTGTTCTTCTGTATATGGCTTGTTCACTTAGCACAATGTCATCAGGTATATTGTATAGCACATGTCAAAAATTTCTTCATTTTGTAAGGGGAAACAAAGGAGGAGGCAACAATGTTTGATAAGAAATGTAGTCATTACCTTGCTTATGTAATTGGAACCCCCTCTGTATGGTGTTTTCACAATAAAAAATATTTTTAAAAAATTCTTCATTTTAAGGAGGATGATATTCTTTTTATACATAATAATATCCCACTGAGTTGCTTTATACATTCATCAGTGGACACTTGATATGCTTCCATCTAGGAATTAATTATACTGCTAGGTACATCATACTGCTATGGCTATAAGTATGTCTAAAAATATAATTTCAAGGGGCTGGGAAAGTGGCTCAGTGGTAGAGTGCTTGCCTTGCATGCATGAGGCCCTGGGTTCGATTCCTCAGCACCACATAAGCAGAAAAAGCCCCAGGTAGCACTGTGGCTCAAGTGGTAGAGAAGAGCTGAGGAACAAGTGCTCAGGCCCAGAGTTCAGGCCCCATGACTAGCAAAAATAAAGTAAAATAAATAAATAAACAAACAAACAAAAACATAATTTCAAGCCTTTCATTTCAATTTTTTTTTTCAGTCGGTCATGGGGCCTGAACTCTGGGCCTGGGCGCTGTCCCTCAGCTCTTCAGCTCAAGCCTAGCACTCTACCCCTTGAGCCACAGCACCACTTCCCATTTCAATTCTTTTGTATATATACCTGGAGATGCAAATGCCAGATCACATAGCAATTCTGTTTAATGTTTTAGAACTGCCATATTATCTAGTGCAGTTACTATATCAATTTAACAATAACAAGATTACCCATTTCTTCACATCCTCAGTGATAATACTAATATTGTAGCAATACTAATACTGAGACATAAGACTTTTTTTTTTAGGTCTGAGACTGGGACTCAAACTTGATACCTGATGCTTTTGTTCACTGGCTGGCACTCTATCAACTAAGCCTCACCTCCAACCTCAAGGGTTATGTCTTTTTTTTTTTTTTCATATAGATTCATAGTAGATCCTTGTTGATTATTATGATTTTTGTTTGTTGGTTGGTTGGTCATGGGGATTGAACTCAGGGCTTGCACACTCACTGTCCCTGAGCTGTTGTTTGTTTTTTTTAAAATCAGTCCTGGGGCTTGAACTTGGGCGCTGTCCCTGTGCTCTTCAGCTCAAGGCTAGTGCTCTACCACTTGAGCCACAGTACCACTTCCGGTTTTCTGAGTGGTTTATTGGAGATGAGTCTCAAGATCTTTCCTGCCTGGGCTGGCTATGAAGCTGGCTTTGATCCAGGATCCTCAGATCTCAGCCTCCCGAGTAGCTAGGATTACAGGCGTGAGCCACCAGCGCCCAGCTTCTAACTTCTCTTAATGTCCACTGCTACACCCTTGGTCCTTTGATCCTACATGAGCAGAGGATTATTGCTAAAGTCAGGAGCAAATACATGTGTCCACAAGGGGCTTGTTAATTATGACAAATCTTATTTATCTGTTCTTTGTCTACTTTGTTGCTTCTTTTGATGCAAATGTTCGGTTACTTCCTTTCTGCTTTTTTTTTTTTCCTGGCCAATCTGGGGACTTGAACTCAGGGTCTAGGCACTGTCCCTGAGCTTCTTTTGCTCAAGGCTAGCACTCTACTAAGCCACATTCCCAGGCCCCCTTTCTGCTTTTTGTTGTGGTGAAAGCTAAAGTGATTACACCACGAATATAGGACTCTCATCACCTTCTCACGTCCTGCTTCTGCACACTAATACCAAACTATGAGGAATAGCAGCTACCATTTGGAACAAGCTTAGGGTGAACTCAGAGACTGTCTCTGAAATTCAGTATAAGGCTTATTGTAAATGTAGGTTATAAGTGAGAGTTATGGTACTCTAGTACTTGGTTTAGCAAAGTTCATGTGAGATGAAAGAACCCGTGACTACCTGGTAGCCTTCTGTTTTCTTCTGGCACCACTTCAATAAGGCATTCCTCTTTGATCCTCCATATTCTCTTGCCAGTGCTGAGAGAGGGTCCTTCCTTTCCTCCCTGGTAAGCGGAAACAAGAAACACAAAGTTGAAATAGTTTTTATTTAAGCACTAAAATAAGGAGATAGAAGAATATAGTATTAGTTTACACATTTTTGGAAGAGGATAATTTCACATACTTAGGCACTCAATTTAGCAAGACTTATCTTTTCTGCCGAATACCAGTGGCTCACACCTATAATCCTAACTACTCAGACTGACACTCTTCTCCAACTGAAAAGGGCATTGAAAATTTCAATTTTAATTTATGTTGAGCCAAAAGAAAAATACCAAATATTTATCAACATATAGATTGCTGCCTTGATGTATATGTGCCAGTCTTCCAGATTCCTGATTTGGCTTAAAGGATTCAAAGAAGTTGGGTATAGTATTGTTGAGCATAGGAAAATAAAGTGAGGAGAAGGGGATAAATACAAAAACAAGCCAAAAAAACAAATAAAAAGGAAATTGTCATGCTCAATATAAAAGTAACTATTTTGTTAAATGGAAAGATTCACTCTAGCTCACACAGGGCCTGTGGATTAAAATGCACCAGAGTGACTCTATGGTCACAATGAGAAGCTGTAGAAGAGTCCTTTGGAACTGCAGGGTTATCTCTTACCATTTCTTCAATCTGCGACAGGGAAACTAAAGCTAGGTGTTCCCCTGTTGATGATGGAAGCTCTGAAGTAGGGGAGCCGGGTCGTGTCTCCCAAGCAGGGAGCCCATCACCAAAACACAAAGGGGAACACTGACAGCCCCTTGCCTGAAAATCCAAGGTAGCACAAGCAACTCTGTCACCTGCTGTACTGCCTACTTGCTCCAAGGGGCACTGCCTACCACACCTCTGTTCTCAGAGGTTGATGTCCTTGGAGGTAGGACTTAAAATGCAAGTGCATAATTTGAGACGCTAAATATTCCACTTTATTCTCAAACCTATAAATTAATATACAGCAAAACTTCTGAAACTCTTTTTCATTCCTTCTTCCCTCATTCATAATACTTGTTAAGTCTTTCCTCATCCTATAAAGAAATGTGTGGTTTTTATCTTAATAGTATGGATTAAGATAAGGTATGTAGATACTATCTTAATAATATCTATCATAATATCTATTTTAGTATCTTAGCCCAAAGCAGCTCATGACAAGAGAACTATGAATAAAATATAAAATTACATTTTATGTATTGTTTATCAATTATTAACACAGCATCACATTGCCCAACATCCAGTCTAAACAGTAAGACATCTCCCTTCTTTTGATAGAAATCTACTGCTGACATTGTCTTTTCTTTTCAAAATCCTCCCAGGCCACCGCTTTCTCCAGGCCTTTTACCCTGTGTTACCAGACCAAACTTGAAGACTTTGTCCCAGACTATTACAACATCCTTTTCTAGCTGATTTCCCTAACTTTTGTCCAGAACAGAACAATTCTCTAATCATCCTGTCATGTAAAAGTATTTACTCCACTTTATAGGTTCTACAACGTCAAAGGGGTGATTCAATTTGACTTTAGAGGTTCTATCACCTAGCCACACCCTAGCTATTCTGTTTGTCTTTCACTGTCCCAGATATAACCAACAAATTCCTCAGGTCTTCTGGCTACCTCCTCTGAATCTGCAACACCCCAGTCTCCTCTGACAGGCCCCCATTGCTCACCTATTCATCCCTCCTGTACACTCATTCTTTATTTCACTTGCCAATAATACCCTCAAAGCTCTACCCGAGTTCTACCTTTCTAGAAAGACATCTCTAACATTCCATCCCATATCCCAGGGTAAACTTCCTAATACAAGTATTCCTTATCTGAAATGTTTGGGACCAGAAGCATTTCAGATTCCTATTTACTTCTGCATTTAAATATTTTCTAATTACTTATAACAAGAAGAAAAATACTTAGCTGCTTAAAGAAAGGAATTGTCTCTTATTTTTTTGTCAGTGTTTTCTATACCATTTACCCAATTCTGCACAGATATGTCAACCCTTAACGCAAAAGGAGGAAGAGGGGGGGAAAAAAAAAGACAGAGTTTAGATGCCATTATTTTTATAACTAATCATTTACTCTGAAAGGCCAGGAAAGGTACTCATGAAAGATGCCAACATTATTCCCTACCGTATCCGGCTCCGGGTGGTGGGGGTCACAGATGCTGTGGGGGAAGACGACAGCGAGAGCTGTGGTGACGTGGTTCCCATAGCCATGAGAGAGGCTGGTGATGCACCCTCAGGTGCAGAGATGTCCCGTTTCATTTCTTCACTACTTCGTCGAGACACTGATGGTGAGAAACACATGTTTTGTAGCAAAAACATCTTAGATTGAGTTCTTAGCTATTTTTCCCCAAAAGCACAAATATTACCTTAAAAGAGATAAAACTAACACTTTATCTTACTAATGACTAGAAAGGTCCTTTGTGAGGGCAGGCACTGTGCCCATGCCTGTAATCCTAACTACTCAAGAGGCTGAGATTTGTGGATCATGTGAAGCCAGCCTGGGTAGGAAGCCTGTGAGACTCTTTATTTCCAATTAAACATCCCTCAAAAAAAAAAAAAAAAGCCAAAAGTGGAGCTGTGGCTCAAGTGCTTGAGAGCTAGTTGTGAGCAAAAAAAAAGTTCAGGGACACATAGAGCCCCTGAGTTCAAGCCCCAGGATCCCCTACCTCTCCCCCCAAAAAAAAATCTGAAAAGGCATAGAAGATGAAATATGCAATGAACTACTATCTACTAAGTACATAGAGAATACTATTTAAGCTTCTGTTTAATTATAATGCCACTAAAAAAACCCAGTCCCTAACTACACACCTCTTCCCCTTCTGAATTTAGGTGAGAACACCACTTGTAGGACTTCATGCCATTCTGACCATATTCTTTATATCAACAGGACAAAAAAAGGTACAAAGTCTACTTACTGGGGAATGGCCACAATAATGATGTTATAAATATCTAAATGGCCCATGGTTAAAAAAAAAGTTTCCTATCCCTATATGATCTTAGAATGACAATGTTTCAGGCATAATTTTATTTATTTTATTTTTTGCCAGTCGTGGGGCTTGAACTCTGACCTGGGTTCTGTCCCTCAGCTCTTCAGCTCAAGGCTAGCACTCTAGCACTCTAGCACTCAAGCCACAGTGCCACTTCCAGCTTCTTCTGTTTATGTAGTACTGAGGAACAGAAACCAGGGCTTCATGCATGTTAGACAAGCACTCTACTACTGAGCCACATTCCTAGCCCATCAGGCATAATTTTATAATTATTTTTCTTCTAAATCTTTTTTTAGGCCTTTAAAATCAGTAGGCTTTTTTTTAAGTACTATGCTAGAAAACTAGATGAAAAAAACTCTCAAAAGTTTGTACAAAATAGCCAGGTGCCACTGCCTAGCTACTCTGGAAGCTAAAGTCTAAGGGTCACAGTTCAAAGCCAGCCCAAGTAGTAAAGTCTGTGGAACTTTCATCTCCAATTAATCACCAAAAAGCTACAAGTGGAGCTGTGGCTCAAGTGGTAGAGTGCGAGCCTTGAATATAAAAGCTCAAGGACAGAGCCCAGGCCCTGAGTTCAAGCCCCATGAATGGCACACAAAAGAAAAAAAAGTTTATACAAAATAAAGAAAAGTCATTAGAAAGAATAACAATATGTCATTTGCAGGGAAATAAATGTATCTAGACCAAATCATGTTAAGTGAGGTAAGCCAAGCCCACAGAGGCAAATGGCACATTTTCTCTCATATGCAGAAGCTAGATCTAAAATCCCAGAATATTCACACACAGTGAGACTGAAGGAGGCTACTCTTAAGAGAGGAACAGAAAGGCATATGCCTATATGCATTTGATCGATCAAAATAAACTCCAGGAAAAAAAACAAGAGGTTTTTTCTTTTTGGCTTTTTTGTTTTGTTTTTCCTTTTTGTCTTGTTTGATCGTTTACATTTTGGGGGAATGTAAGGGGAGGCACTGAAATGGAGAGACAAACGGTGAACAAATGCAGCAGTCCAGTACTCACTGGACAATAGTTGAAAATGAACTATACAATAGTTGAAAATGAACTATACAACTTAAAGGTGGGGATAGGAGGGAAAAACTGGGAGAGAGCAAGGGAAAGGGTGACACTGTCTAAAAAAAAAAGTACTCTTTACCTGACTTTAGAGTAATACTATTTTTTTAAAATAGAGAAACAGACTGAGGGAGAATCTGAAGAGCTCTATTATAAGAAAAGCACATAGAAAATAAAGGGTCTGGAGAGTGGCATGGTATAAATCACAGCACTTACATGTTGAGAAGTGGGGAATTATGAGATTCAGAAAAACATAGCCTACATAGTGGGACTCTGTCTCAAAACACCCAAAAGAAGAAAAAGGAAAAGGCTCTTGTACAGTATATATATTGAATACAGACTCAAAGAGTAAAAGACTCAGCTGATTCAAAGACCATCTATAACATACAGAAAACTAAATCCTGACCCTGAAAATACAAAATAATAATCATATGAAGTTGGAAAGCAAGGAAGAGGAAGGAAGGGCCATGTGCAAGAGGAACATTAATTGTACTGAGAAGTTATTTCCAGTTTATAGTTTAGCTATGTAGTATAAGAAAAAGCCACAAGGAAAAATAGAATAAATAATTATAAATTAAAGAGTTTCAGAAGACAAAGTAGTAAGCTTATCAAATTCATCATTAAAATTTTTATTTTTTATTTTTTTGGGTCCGGTCGTGGGGCCTGAACTCTGGGCTGGGCACTGTCCCTCAGCTCTTCAGCTCAAGGCTAGCGCTCTACCTCTTGAGCCACAGCGCCACTTCCAGCTTTTTTCTTTTTGCTTATGTGGTGCTGAGGAATCGAACCCAGGGCCTCAGGCATGCAAGGCAAGCGCTCTACCACTGAGCCACCTTCCCAGTCCCATCATTAAAATTTTTAAATTCATTTTTATATTAATTCATTATTATATGGCTTTATCACATTGGAAAGTTTAGATTCCAGAAATTTATGAATGTGCTTTCAAATACTTCTTCAAAATCAGTCATGAAACACTTGGGGATAAATATTCTTTCCTGACTCTATCAATTTTGCACAAAGCTGTATTTACACCATGTTATCTGTTACACTGTAAGCCCTTAAAAACTGGAAGAATCTTCTAAAAGAAAATATCAGGTAGGAATCGTTACCTGAGATAGTTTTGGCACTTTCCATGGCAGGAACTCTTGGTAGAGAAGCAGGCCGGCTGGTGGAAGATGTTCTCAGTAGATGCTCTGCATAAAGTGGAAAAGTCATGCACAATATATAAAGTTGATGAATGGTGAAGTAACAAAGGTTCAAGGAAGTTGAACTTAAGTCTTCTCAACACTGAGGCTCAACCTTCTTCCTAAGACAAGGCACTTCAACAATGCCTCATTGTGAAAACATACCCTACAGACAAGGAACATGGTTAAACATTCCATCTTAATGTCTTTTTTTTTTTTGGGGGGGGGGTTCAGTCGTGGGGCCTTAACTCTGGGCCTGGGCGCTGTCCCTCAGCTCTTCAGCTCAGGGCTAGCGCTCTACCACTTGAGCCATAGCGCCACTTCCAGCTTTTTTCTTTTTGTTTATGTGGTGCTGAGGAATCGAACCCAAGGCATCAGGCATGCAAGGCAAGCGCTCTACCACTGAGCCACCTTCCCAGCCCAACCATCTAAATGTCTTATTTCTAGGGATAAGATGCTCTACCCAGAAGAATGCTTCAAATCATTGACTGCCACTTACCTCTTCAACTAAAATAAAAAGATCCCTTAGATCTAAGGCACAAACTAAATAAAACATTGCCTTAGTGCCTATATTAGTGAGACGATCACAAACACATACAGCCACAGCAAAGTCGGGATGGAATAATTACAGTACTAGGATGATAAGGTAGGGGGAAACATTTAGGCAACAAAGAAGGTTTCAAAAACATAATGGCCTGGGGGCTGGGAAGGTGGCTCAGTGGTAGAGCGCATGCCTTGCATGCCAGAGGCCCTGGGTTCGATTCCTCAGCACCACATAAGCAAAAAGAAAAAAGCCGGAAGTGGCGCTGTGGCTCAAGTGGTAGAGTGCTAGCCTTGAGCTGAAGAGCTGAGGGACAGCGCCCAGGCCCAGAGTTCAGGCCCCATGACCGGACCCAAAACAAACAAACAAACAAACAAAAAACCATAATGGCCTGATAAACACAGAAGAAGGGTGGGGAACTATATTTCAGCCAGACAAAAATCAGAATAAAGGTGTGAGTAAGCAAAAAAAAAAAAAAAAAGCCTTATATAACTATACTATGAGATATATGAACAACAGGCAGCATGAGAGTGGCTTTCCAGGGAAGACAGGCTGAATGAAGAACCTTCTCTGTAGGCATCATTGTTTTTGAGCATTTGAAGATCACAATCAGATACTGTCTACTATCTACTTACTGTTTGTACCAACAGACTAGACACATAGGTAGATATAGATAGGTAGGTAGGTAGGTAGGTAGGTAGGTAGGTAGATAGATAGATAGATAGATAGATAGATAGATAGATAGATAGATAGATAGATAGATTCATACATACATAATTTAGCCTTTCTCAAAATACCGTATGTCAAAACAATGGCTTATAACATTGTCTCTTAAGGACAGAGTATCTTTCACTTCAAATTACATTTTTTAAGAGACTGAAGAACAACTGGTTATAATCACTCCCTACTTTAGATGCCTCCAGAGTAAGAAGAATGAACTTACTTTCCATGTAAAGCTCAAAGTGATTACAACATGTTTATCCTGAACAAACATCACTTTTGCACAAAGAACTTACAAGCAAACATCAATCAGAATCTTGAACCCTGTCTGCAGCTGGCATTTATCTTTACTTGAAGAGCAGACTATGCACAAAGTCTGACAGACAAAACAAAGCAGAACATGGAAATAGTAGGAAGCAGAAATCAACATTTTAAATTTAATCAAAATTTCCATCCTACAATTATGAAACTAAAGAATCATTTCACTAAAAAACTGTCTCCCAAAGAACACAGCAAAGTCAAGAAACTGAAGACAAAGGCTAGAGACAACAGCAAAAACTTGTTCATTCTCTAGGTGGAAAGTGTTTGTAAAGGTGACTTATTCAAACTTTACTCTTCTACTATGTAAAATTTACACAGATATATGTGTTCAACACTGGACTTCTGTTACTGCTCATTTAAAGCTCTGTATCTATCTCAATTTTACAGGTAGTCCCTGAAATAGCTTAACAGCTAAACTTTTTGACAACATACAAAAATGCACTGGACCTTATTTGGTTTTTCATTTTTAAATTACTTGTGGTAGGACTAGGAGTGTAGCTCAACATGGAGGGTATGCTCAGGATATACAACATTCTGGGTTCCATCCCAAATACTATCTGCCCCCCCACCAAAGAATTGTGAGAACTTCCAAGAGCCAAAACACAGTCAGTTACTATTTCATGAAGTACTTTTATATTGTGAAAATCAAGGCACTGTGGGGAGGGAAGGGATAGTAGGGGAAAAACAAAGGAGGGGGTAACAATGCTCGATAGGAAATGGACTCATTACCTTACTCATGTAACTGTAACCCCTCTGTACAGTATCTTTACAATAAAAAAAAAAATTAAAAAACCAAGGCACTTGTCACAGTAAGAATGCAGACATGCTTACTGGTTTCATTTTCATGTCAAATGTTAGTTTAGTCCTCTTCAGGAAATAAGATTAGTATATTATATTTTATGGTAATAGATTCTATTTAATTGTCATATGGAGCTATTCTCATCTTTAATTCATTCATCAGACAAAAATCACTTAGCTGTTCACTACTTGCCAAGCACTGAGCTAGGTGCAAAGGTCAGAGAAAGGAGACAAGAAACTTGCTCTCAGGGAACTCAGAGTCAAGAGCGGAAGCCAGACTTTTAAACAATTCATAAGCAAATGATGCTAGGAAAGAACAAGCCAGGGGCCCTGGGAACCCATAGTGTGACGTGCCTGGTTTTGCTGGTAGTCCGGAAAGGCCTTCTCAGGAAATGACAGTGAAGTGGAAACTCAAAGGATAATTGATAGTTTTTATACAGGCAAGGAAAGCTTGGAAGGAAAAGTGTCTCCAGCTTAGTGTTCAGGAGGATGATGTTCAGAGGGCAAGGGGAAGAATGGAGCAAGGTAAACCTGCAAAGGCAAGGAAAAGTCATGCAGGCAAACCGCAGTGGGAACCAATGAAGGTTTTCTCAGGTTTGCATTATTCTGGCTTCAGTAGGTTGGAGAGGTTAGTACAGGATATGAGTTTTTCAATACAGATGAGATGATGCTGACTTGGACTTGGTTACCAGTAGTGAAGACTTAAGGTGGACAGATTATAGAGATCGTTAACAAGGTATAATAAACAGTTACTGACTGATAGAAGAGGAAGTGAGGATACCACATACAGAGATATAAAAGGTAAAGGAATAAAAGTTAAAGAATTAGAGACACCCAAGAGAAGATGTGGCACAGGTGATCACAGAGAGTTCAGGAGGAAAAGTGTGAAGGAAGCATGTAGTCTGGGGATGTGTGGGTATGTATGTATTGACACAGATCTCACCGGTAACCTTCGTCAGACCAATTTAATACACTAGCAGAGACCAAAGTAAGGTTAGAATGAGTTGATTAGTAAAAGGAGACTGGAAAGATGTAGAGATCAATTGTACAAGGGTACGGAACACAGGACAAGGTATAATATGTTGTAAGGTTTTTTTCCATTTTTTAAAAATTCCTTCAGAATGTACCTTGGACTGGTTTTGAATTTATGATCCTTCCAGCCTCAGTTTCCTAAATGATGAGCTTTCAGAAAGCACCACAGTCGTTTTTTTTGTGGGGATGGGGAGAGGGGTAGGTGGAGGGTGGCGTGCTGGTTCTAAGGCTTGAACTCAGGGCCTGGGCACTGTCCCAAGCTTTTTTGCTCAAGAGTAGTGCTCTACCACTTGAGCATGCGCGCGTGCGTGCGTGCGTGCGTGCGTGCGTGCGTGTGTGTGTGTGTGTGTGTGTCCCTAATTGGAGATAAGAGTCTCAGAGACTTTCTTGCTAGGGCTGGCTTTGAACCATGATCCTCAGTTCTCAGCATCCTAAGTAGCTAGGATTATAGGTATAACCCACCAACACCCAGTAAGATAGGAGCTGCTTCTTTTTTTTGCCAGTCCTGGGACTTGAACTCAGGGCCTAGGCACTGTCCCTAAGCTTCTTTTGTGCAAGGCTAGTATATTGCCACTTAAGCCACAGTGCCACTTCTGGCTTTTTCTATTCATGTGGTACTAAGGAATTGAACCCAGGGCTTCAAGAATGCTAGGCAAGCACTCTACCAATAAACCACATTCCTAGCCCAAGATATGAACATTTGTGAATGATAGAAGGGAGCCAGTAAGTTAAAGGTATAGAAAAAAAAAAGACAATCAAACCATAAGACTAATAGTGGAAGTGGCACTGTGGCTCAAGTGGTACAACACTGGCCTTGAGCTGAAGAGCTCAGGGACAGCGCCCAGGCCGAGTTCAAGCCCTATGACTGACCTAAAAAAAAAAAAGACTAATAGCATCTGAAAATGCTCAAAGAAGTAAGATTCAGAGTTCAGATAAAGACATAAGCCCTACTGGATGCTATAGTTCACACCTGCAATCTCAGCTACTCAAGAGGCAGAGAGTAGGAGTATTCCAGTTGAGAGGCCAGCCCGGACAAAAAATGAGACCCTAAAGAGCTGGGTATGGTGGCACCATATCTGTATACCAGTTATAAAAGAAGTATAAGCAGGAAGATCACAATCCAACTAGACTCAGGCAAACCAACAAACAAAAAACCCCACTATCTCAAAAAATAAACAAGGCTGGAGCTGGTGGCTCACACCTGTAATCCTAACTACTCAGGAGGCTGACATCTGTGGATCACGGTTCAAAGCCAGCCCAGGTAGGAAAGTCTGTGAGACTCTTATCTCCAATTAACCACCAGAAAGCTGGAAGTGGCGCTGTGGCTCAAGTAGTAGAGCACTAGCCTTGAGCTGAAGAGCTGAGGGACAGCACCCAGACAGGCCCAGAGTTCAAGCTCTATGACTAACAAAACAAACAAAACAAAAACAAAAACAAAGCAGGGCTGGGAATGTGGTTTAGTGGTAGAGTGCTTGCCACCTAGCACACATGAAGCCCTGGGTTCGATTCCTCAGTACTACAGAAAAAGCCAGAAGTGGCATTGTGGCTCAAGTGGTAGAGTGCTAGCCTTCAGCACAGGGACAGTGCCCAGGCCCTG